AATACTTGTGATTCTTGGCTTATAATTTTAAGATTGATATAGAAAAGGGACAAGTGCAGTAAAGGAAAATGCTTTGTGGGAAAAAAATTGAAATTTTTGATATCATATTAATGAAATATTGGACATAAAATAAATTGACATATTGCCTTTATAAGATGCATCACTTGACATACTTATTATCTTCACAGAAACAATAGCCCACTATGCAATTTAAAGAAAAATAATTCAGTTGTTCATATACATGTATGTAGAATAAATTTGATCTAGTTATCATATTTTTTACAGCCAAATGGGAGATTTGAGACCAACAAGAAAATTTGCCTGAGTATCTCAGGACATCACCCGGAGTCATGGCAACCCTCCTGGTCAAGTAAGATTTTATTTATACATTTTTTTTTTATATTTGTAAATTTAGGATTTAAAAATTTATTGAACAATGACTGGAAGATTTACAATAAATATCACTAAAAGTAGAATTGCTCCAAAAGAATTTTTTTAGTTAATTAATTTATGAATATACATTACACAATATATACGAGGGTTGATCCAAAAGTTTGTGGAATTTTTTCATATTTTATTTATTATGTTCCCCAAACAAAGTTGGGGAACATATTGTTTTTACTCTGTTTCTTATTATTAGGGCTTTTCGACTTTTGTCGAAAAGACCTATTGTTTTCGTCTTGTTTATTATTATTATTATTAAGGTCTTCCGTCTTAACGGAAGACCTTATAGCGATTCTATTGTTTCTTATTATTATTATTATTATTTTTCTGACGCGATTTCTCAAAGAGTACTGGATGGAATTATATGAAATTTTCGGGACAGATGTTTTGTTAAATGAATTTGATACATCTGAGAGATTTTTTGGAAATTCGCTTCCGGTGCCAAGTTACAGACCTTTTTCTGATTTCTTTTGTCCACGGATTTTCTCAAGAACGGTAAAAGATATCAAAGTGAAACTTTCAGATATTATAGATGATGATAAATACTATCCAGGACGCGACTTTTCGTTTGTCGTCATTACTTCCGCTCACTACTGGAAGCTAATTTAAAAAGTCTAATTTTAAAATTTTTTTTGTTTTTCAATATTTTTCGTTTATTTTTTGTATGTTAATAGAAACCTTTCTTATAATGCTTACTATATAATTTGTTTGAATATTGATAAATCTAAACTCTAGATATTAGCATTTAAAAATTTGAAGCGTTTCAAAATGGCCGCTCTCTCTGTCAACTCCGACATTTCGCAATAGGGGTTTACTGAGGCAGTCGAGCATTTGCTTGAACGAAAGTAACATAAGGATAAATGAAATGTAAAGGAATACTTGGATTTTCACGTTGTAGTTATGTTACAATCCTGTATCAAACTAAATTCTTCTTAAACGTCTTCTATAATTGGTTTTGGTTGATTCTCAAAGTAGAAAAAGAAAAGACTAAATGTGCAAATGAAATTCGATACCTAATATCTTCAGCTCATTAATCATTGTTATAAGTACAATGTAGTAGTTTTTCAAGAAGGATATCAATGAATACAGTAAGTATAAAACTTATCCACTGTTTTTCCCATGCACACTTGTGCCATATTAAGCTAATAAAAAAGACAAAATAAGATAACCATATTTTTTTTAAAGATCGCTTAATAGAGTTTATATTACCATTATTGTCTCAAAGATCTTATTCAAGTTATTGAGCACAAACGATATCCAATTCCTTGACCGTCGTAAGGCGAGCCTTTTTTTTTTTTTTTTTTACGAAAACTTTCAATCTCTTCATGAATGTTTTTATTTAACTAATTGGGATAGTTCACTTTAGCGAGTTCACTTTAACATGAAATTTTAAAAAAAAGTTAAAATTCATAGCCATTTCACTGTTTTAGTGTTACTTCCTTACATACTATATGGAGTTTGTGAAATGTATTAAATATACTTTCTAATCATCAAGTTTTAGGCTAAATGAACGTTTTTTTTAATTTCATTAAAGATATCACACTTATTAAATAGAACATTCCAAAGAAAAGGCGCGAAGATTAACTCGTGGCGTTTGGCGCGAATTTATGAATAGTGACTAGCTTTTATAATTCTAAGACAAAAGCACTGTTATACAGAGGTATATACAAGAAGATTTAGAGCAGAGGTCCCGACAGAGTACGTAATATTTAGCGCGTTGGATTTTCATGCTGCCGACTTGGATTCAATCCCCCCCTGCGTGTAATATTTTTTTTTTACCTTTTCAGCTAGATTTTACAAAGTTTTTTTTTTTCGAAATCGGACGGAAGACCTCTCGTTGCTCGCAACGAGATCGTATCTAGTTATTATTATTATTATACTTAGCAATTCTTTTGCTCAGATTTTCTGGAGTACCTTTAAAAATAGGTATTATATTTTATAACTATTAAATAGCTTATGTAAAAATGTCCTGTCTGTAATATTTTATACTTCCGGTCTTGTCATTTCCGGTTTCTACAAAAGGTAAACTGAAATTTCTAAAGAGGCCAAAAATATTTCTAATTTCAGTGTCTAGACTCCCAAATTTAAAATATGAATTCTAGAGACCTAATCCTATAAAAAAGTGCGCGTACGTGATTTTTGACCACTTATACTTTTCGAGATATAAGACCTCAAACATTGAAGAAGGGGGGAGGAATTTTTTGAAAGTCATAATAACGTTACAAAATTTTTTTTAAGGATGTAAATATGTTTAAACTAATTAGTAGAACATATCCTGTAAGTTTCATATCAATCAGACCTGAACTTCCGGTTTTATGGGTCTTTGAATTTTTATGCTAAAATGTAATCAGTTATGTAACATTATCTCTTAAAGTAATTAAGATTTTCTTGTAATATTTTGCATACATAATGACTCTGACACTGTTTCGACTTCATAAGATTATGAAATCCAAATTTTAGAAAATAAGGGATTTTTAGGGGTCAACATTTAAAACAGACCTTTACCTGTAACTTTTTTATTTCTCAATGAATTTTCAAAAAGTTTTCCGATTTGGGTTTAGCTTAAAGAGGACAATCTAAAAATTATGGTCCGTGGGGTCACTTTTTGACCCCTTATAGGAGTTTTAGAGACGTAAAATATTGTATTTTTATGTCTTTTCAAAAATGCTGATGTAAGAGTTATCTCTCTTCGTTGACATGTTTGGAGTCTAATATGCTCTCTAAGTTTTAATTTTGGTATGCATTTGAAGAGTACTTCCGGTTTTATGAGTTCCTCAAAATTGCCTATGGAGATTTCTATGTTAAATTTGAAATCACGCTTGTTCCATTATCTAAAACGGTAGGCAAGCAATTCTCGTGAAATATCATATGAATATTGACTCTAGCATTGTCTCCAGGTGGAAAGGTCATGAAAATAATTATCCCTAAAAATAGAAGGGATTTAAGGGGTCAGTGCAGAAAACGGTTCTTCCTCTGTAACATTTTTAATTCTCAACCAATCTTCAAACTAATTTTCGTATTACATCAAGCATAAAGAGTACAATTAAAAAATTATGGGCCGTGGTGTCAATTTTTATCCCCTTAGAGGAGTTTTAGTGGATTGAAAAACAGTACATTTTCGAATCTGTTTAATAACCACAAAAGAGTTATGTCTCTTTGAGTAGACACTGATGTAGAAAAAGAATGGTTATGTTTCCAATTTCGTATTGATCTCAAAAGAACTTCTGCAATTTTTTTCGATAAATCATTTAAAATATTGATTTTTCTGTTAAGATTCTTAATTTCAAGGGGTCGAAAAGCCCTCCGTTTTTGTTGAACGACAAAAAGATCTAGTTAAGGTCTTCCGTCTTCAGCGGAAGACCTTATTGTTTTTCTTAGGTTTCTTTTCCACTATTTTTATTATTATTGTTTTTTTTTCTTACCGATTTTGTACGCGCGATTTCTCGAGAACAGCTCGATCGATTTTCATGAAACTTTCAGGTCTGATAGAACATAAAAAAATCTAGATATATATTTTTTTATTTTGATGACGTCACTTCCGGTTCGGAGTTTTCTGCGATTTAGTGATTTTTAGAGGGTCATTTTGTCCGGCAGTTTTCTCAAAAAGCACTTAACACAGAAGCTTGAAATTTTCAGTGATGCTAGAGCAACTTTTGGAGAAGTGCACTAAGTATATCATTTTTACCGGAAGTACGAAGCACCGACGCTCGCTATGGCCCGTAAATAGTCCTATCAAGAATTTCAAAATTTTAACCACTTTTTCAACGATAACTTTTTACCTAGAAATATTTTGTTAAAGCATGTAGAACAAAAAAGGTGTAGAATTTCAAGATCTTTCAAATGACATCTCAAAAAAAGGGCTGGCCCCTTAAATCAGGGGCTTGGAGGGGCCGAAATTTTTTCCTTTATATCTCAAAAAGTATTGAGAATTTTTGATACGTCAAAGAAGCAAAATTGTTCAAAATGTCAAGCTTTATCTAGTGAAGTCGTCAAAATACGTCCGGCGTCGTCACTTCCGGTCAAACCGGAAGTAGTCGGAAAACGCGTATTTTTGCCGTTCTTGACAAGTTTTCTGGTAACATATGTCTCTGGGAGCATTATAATTAATTTTCCGTCCGTCGTCGTCACTTCCGGTCAAACCGGAAGTAACAGAAAATGGCTTATTTTTGCAATAATTAACATGGATTTAGAGGAATCAAACCTTTTTTGGACGTTATTTCTCATTTCTGTTAAAAATGAAAGCCACTTCCGGTCAAACATGACGGAAGACCTACTCCTTGCTTTGCAACGAGCTTTGCTCTAGTTATTATTATTTTTCTTCTCGGGAAAATTTTGTCCGCGAATGATCTTGTAAAGTACACATCCGATTAAGGGGAAACCTTTTTAGGGTAAGTAGGCATGTTATGTAGATTTGCGGAACGAAGGTCATTTTGCGCGCACGTGCAACACGTGAAATGACCAATATACTTGAAATTGCCGTAACTTTTACATTTTTCGATGTAATGCATTGATATTTAGAATATATAGACATATCATAAATGTAGATAAGATGACATTGTCAACATGCCATTTTGTGTGCACGTGCTTGCAAGAGCGCTCACGAGCAACACGTGAAATGACCGATTTAATTGATATAGGCATAAATTTTTACCTTTTTGATGAAATACTTTGAAACTCATAATATAAGGATATAGTAGTAGCATAGACAATATGACATGGTCAAAATAGCAAGATCTCACGCGCATGCATGTGCGCTTCGCTCTGATGGCTGAAACTAAAGTCTCAATATCTTTCTTGTTTTTTTATGAAATCCTTTGAAATTTTGAACATAGCCATGCATTAAGATATTCTACAACATGATATATAGCAATTATCAAGAAAACACGTGTATGCACGTGCGCTGCAATCTGATTGGCTGAAACTTTAAATAGCTATAACTCCCTTGGTTTTCAACCAAACAGGATGGGATTTGGAATATAGATAGATATAACAGACTTCTACAAGAAGGTATGTTCACCATGCACATCCATACACGTGTGTGTACGTGCGCTGCAATCTGATTGGCTTAAACTTTAAATAGCTATCACTCCCTTGGTTTTCAACCAAACAGGATGGGATTTGGAATATAGATAGATATAACAGACTTCTACAAGAAGGTATGTTCACCATGCACATCCATACACGTGCGGGTACGTGCGCTGCAATCTGATTGGCTTAAACTTTAAATAGCTATCAGGCCCTTAGTTTTCAACCAAACAGAATGAGATTTGGAACATAGGTAGATATAATGGACTTCTACAAGAAGGCATGATCACTATGCACATCCATACACGTGCGTGAACGTACGCTGCAATCTGATTGGCTGAAACTTTAATAAGCTATAACTCCCTTGGTTTTCAACCAAACGGAGTGGGATTTAGAACATAAATAGATGTAATAGACTTCTACAAGAAGGTATGTCACCATGCTCATGTATGCACGTGCGTGCACGTGAAATGAGTAAATCCAAAAATACATGTACACTTGAATGAGCGTATTTTTTTAATACTTTTGGATTAAATACTTTAATATTTAGTATATTAAAGTATATAGATTGTGTAGACAAGATGATATGGTCATTACGCACATGCATTCACATGCGCACGCGTGCAATGCTAAAATTTGAATGAACTTGGTACCCTTCTGGGTAAACGTTGTTAAAGTCTCAAATGCATAAAGTTTGTCTTATTTAATGAAGCTAACAGGGAATATGGCACCAAAAGGGAAATGGGGAGCGTTTGGGGAACATCTGTAACGGTCCCCGTTACAATTAGCACTAGTTTTTAAGTGGAATTGGTTGAAAATTACAAATGAAAATATAGACTCTTGATGAATATTTTGAATTAAAAAACAGTTTAAATATCTTTGATAGTAACTCTATGGCAGTTGCCATAGAAACGGTTGTTTGGAAATGCGGGGGAGACATTAATGCGTTTATTTTCATTTTAATTCTTATTTCTTAATACGTGAAATGATAAGTAAACCACCCTAAGTGGTATATAAATCAAAAATTATGTCATTATTACGATTGCTTGATCTTTTATAAACCTTTGTGTGAGAGTTTTACTGGATATTTAGTTTATTAATTGGTGATTTATTACTTATCTTTAAGTTGTTAGACAACGTCAAAGTTCGGTCAAGTCATACGTTTTTTGAAACTATCTTAAACGTGTATATAATTGACAAAAGGCTTGGGGAAAATGCATTTAGTTACTGGTTTTCGAATGGCATAATAAGTTTAAGAAAACAGAACTTCTATGGACGTTGATTAAAGGTGTGATCGCTTTTTGGAGGCTCTGTTTTAAGTGCGTATCCCCCTAATAAACGTTCATAGACGTTGTTGGCTGCCATACTGTTTTCGACATTGCTACTGAAATTGACTATCATATGGACAGATGGGAGTATTTTTAAAATATGAGTGAAAAATGAAGATAAGCTAGTGCGAGAAGATACACGGGTTTTTCTTGAGAAAAAAAAGGAGACAAGGACAGCATTTTGTAGAATTACATATTCAAATTGGACATTAGGACCAGTTGCTTTTATAGCATGACGTGACATATCTAACTTGACGTTATGTCAAAGTCTCCCCCGGGTTCCACAACTATCCATTTTCAGAAAGCTCGTGTGGCCTCATTGGTAACTGGAAATTGACGAAAGTTTCAAATATTATTGCATTATGACTCTATATTATGAATATGCCTGTTGTTTCCTTTCATCAAATCATGATAAGATTTTAGAAAAAAATTCCACGAACTTTTGGATCAACCCTCGTACATGCACAGTGTACCATTCTTCACTTAGGAGATGAAAAATATTTATTTCTCTATTCACTTGTCCCTTTTTTAATTTCATCTTCTTTTTAAAAAAGTGTAATTTTATATACATTGTATTAAAAAATGGGAAAGAGAAACTTGTTGACACATAAAGTTATATTTATGGAACCTTTTACTTCCAGTCAGGACAGCCCTTTTGGCCATTATCGGGTTCATGCCTACACACGGTGCGGGAGCTATAGGATCCCTGGACTACTCACCAGAGGAGAGGAAGAAACTCGCCAACAGGTAAAACTCAGCACAAGGAGATTTGAAATTTTGAGAGAAAAAAAATTCACATTCATAGGAGTTTAAAATCTTCCGTAATTGGCATAATGCTTGTCATGGTATGGGGCAACATAAAAAGCATATAAATGAATCCATTCATACAGATTTCATTTGTAAGACTTTGCCCCATAAAATTGGTAATGTTAAAGAGGAAAAGTTATGTTGTATGCCAGTTGACCCTAGATTGACTCCGCACAGGGAAATAATTCTTGTAAAAGTGAAAGCTGTTCGTTGTTTGATCTTTTTAGAGATCAAACAAAAATAAGTTTTAAACTTGATATTTCTAATTCTGTAGGAGCAAAGAATGGAAGTGTTCTACGTGTGGTAACATTAATTGTATATTAAAGCCAATGACTGAAGAAACAGAGGAATCTAAAAGGACATCACAAGAGGCCAAGGAACTGGCCAGTCAGATTAACTTCCAGGTATGTAAAAGAATCAGTCAGTCACTTAAATATACAGAGAGTTTCCAGTAGTGTTGTCACGACGATCGATTTATAATCGATCGGTCGGAAAGGCTGTCAATTTTAGACAATCGATTGGAGATTTAAACAATCGATTAATCGATGTATTTCAGCACATATCTTTTTTTATAGTTTTCTCATTTTTATTTCAAGAACAGGCTCTTGTTATCAAAATATATATCTTCCAAGTGTTGTCCTTTAATACCTATTTTAAAATACATGGACTTAAAATCTGTTTAAAATAAATCACAAGATAATGATAATTGTATTTCTAAACTGAAGAAACTAAACTACAGTCAAGGGACATAATTATTCGCCACTTCAAAATGGCCGCCGAAATTTTACATAGCACACCTTGATATTTAGGAGATATATATAAGTTTTCAGTATTTGGGGTAATTCACTTTTCATATCATACGAATTCACAAGGATTTGCGATATTAAGTCATAACAGTTTAAAAAATGAATTCCACATATAAACCGGTATTTTAGATGATCTTGTAAATTAAAACCTGATCTGTCAATGCTTATGTTTCCCAGGCCAAGTAATTCCTAATCATGCAAAAATCTGTATTAGGCCTACTGAAATTGTTATTCAAACTGCATATATACTGTTTTTAGAATTTCGATCTGTACAATGCACCTTTACTTACATTATTTAAAAATAAAATTCTAAATTTTATATGAAATATAGTGCCTATTTTATGCAAAGGGTTACCGATTCGATTATTGACCGATGATCAGTTGGTTAGGGTCAACCGATGCTACCGATTAATCGATTCTGATTTTCAACCGATTTGACAACACTAGTTTCCAGTCAATTTCCATGAATGGTAAACAACTGGCCATAGAAATCAAAGTGAAGAAAGATGAATGTCCAATCTCCAGAAAAATCTAAAGAATTCAGATTTAATATATAGTTTACATCTTTTAGGCAGAGAAAAAACCTGGTGAGGGAAAAAGTGGAAGCAATGGTGAGACAACTCCTACACCTCAGTCTAATGAACAACAACAAGCAATTCCTCAAATGCCAGCTAACACCACAAACCCAACATTTAGCAATGGATTTCCATTTCCCTCTCCTTTCATGTGCATGCCCAATATGCCTCCTTTCCAGATGCCACAAGGAATTGATGGAAGTGTCAATGTCCCCCGGTTTCCTTTACCCCCTCCATTTATACCAGGAATGCTTCCTCCAGGTCAACAAAATAGTTCACAGAATGTCTATATGCAGCAATGGCAGATGAATCCTTTTATGATGGGTAGACCCCCAGTCCCTCCCTCAATGGTTTTTCCTGGGCAGATGACTTCTTCTGTACCAACACAGCAAGCCATGAATCTCCCATCACAAGCAATTCCATCTGATGTACGAGCAGGCCAGCCTCAACCTCCACAGGACAAAACTCAGGCTAATTCTCAATCGGTGAAGTCTCAGACGCCAACAGCTGCCAGTACTCAAAACTCATCTCAAAGTGCAAATAAAAATTCATCATCAACCACAGAAGACAATGTTACAAATGACAGAGATGCCTCAGTTGAGGCCTCTTCTCAAGGACCAGGGAATTCTACACAGGAACCTCAAAGTTTTACATCGGAGGCCAATTCCAATCCTGAGTCAACACCTTTATTATCACCTGAAGCAAGCAGTTCAGCTCTGGGGTCAACAGGTCAAAGGTCAGAAGAGGGACTGAGACAGAGGCTGGTGGGGGACAGCCCCAGGCCAGCAGTACCGGCGGGGAGAGTGGGACAGAGTGCAGAGCTGAGGGAACATCACCAGAGACAATCCGGACTAAGTTTCTCCACTGTGATGATATTCCTAATTGGACTGGCCATTGCCATGTTATTGATCCGACGTTTCTTTCTTTCTAGAAATTGGAGGTTTTACTATGGTGTTTGATAACAGATTTTAAAATGCTTCGTGTGATATAATTTATTCACAAGAGATGCTGTGTATGGTTGTCTTATTTAGTGATAACATCTGCTGATGATGCATATAATTTTAACTATTGCTAATTGTACATATAATGCATTTATTATTAATGTTTAATTATGAGCAACAATTTTCTCTGCTATTTAAAAGAAGCAATTGATTTTTTTTATGCAATTGCATGTTCAAGTAGTATTTTATATAAAGAATAATGTATTATCCATAGAGGGAAGTTGTACCAGTAAATGTAAATAAAACATGTTTTTGAATCTTTATCATTGAGTATAATTACATAATTTGTCCTACTTACAATTGTATTTGTGATGATCAACTTTTGACATGCTTACCAGATGAATTAAACTGTTGTTGAATTTATATTAATTTGTATCCATTTTTAGTTCACCTGAGCCGAAGGGTCATGTGACCTTTTGTCTGGCTTTTGTTTAGTTGTAAGTCTGTGTGTAAACTTTTTGAATTTAATTTCGACTTCTTCTCAAGAACTAGTGAGCCATTTTTAACTAAACGTTTGACAAAGTATATTTTGGGTTCAATACTGTTCAAATGAAAGGGTTATGCCATAAATTTCTGAAATCCATTGCCAGAGGCTATACAGAAATTTGTTAGTAGAGTACCCGACTAGTAATTCAGGGGACCCAGGTTCAAATCCTGGTCTGGCCCGTCATATTTTTCTCCTCTGCAATGAACAGTGCATCAGCACTGTTAAATCAATGGATTTACCTTCTTGAGCATGTGTAATTCTAAAAAATCTCATCTCCCAGAATGATAACTCGCATGTATTAAGCAGATGGTATCAGCAAGACATACTCCCCTTCCCTTTTGGTCAATTAGGTATAAAAATTGGCCAGTAATGGCATTGCCAGCACCCAACAACGTAGCTAAGAAATGAAGAAAGTATTTTATGCCTCATGTTTTACAGCATTATTTCCCTATTGTCAAAGCTTTAGAAATTGCAAAATGGCATTAATCTTGTATTGAATCTCGAATGAATGTGAAAATAATGAGACACTATTTTAGACGTTTTATTTTGCAAATATACATGGGTCCAAAATTGGAGGACAGGGTAGGAATAATTAATTGTCCATACTTTGTCAGTGGGAAGAAAGAAAAGATGTTCTTGAATATTGGCCTGATATAGCTCATGTCTACCACAACTGCATCAATGTCGGTCTCCTTCCATAAATACTCCATTGTGGCTTGTATAACTCCATCATTCTGAGCTGGGGAGAGGGTACACGTCGAGTATACAACTGTTCCACCTGGCCTACAAGACTGGACTCCTGCTCTGTAAAGTAACATTCAAAAATAATGTAAAATATTTTATGATGTATTCATCACAAGTTAAGGACCTAATCACTTTTGAATGTTGATTATAATGCATCTCTAAAAATTTCACACCAGAAATAAAATGTTTAAAATACATCAGTGAATAATTCTCAAAAAAAAAAAAAAAAAAGATTTCAGATTTGGCATAAACAAAAATAATCTGTTAAGATGTAGAAACCTACACCAGCAGTTCCTTTTGTTCTGTGGGTAGTGCTAGTCTCTCCTCCATCCGACCTGGTTTGAAGAGATTGTTATCCTCACTGATCAAGACATGTCTGTCTGTATTACAAGGTACATCTACCAAGACCTGAAATGTCAGAAATATACAACAATTAAGTATAATTATAGCAGATACGAAAGCACGCAACATATGGCCTGGTGAATTTTTGGGATAAAAAATATATTTAGATATGCAAAGGCCTTGAAGGGTGTTTCAGTAATATGATTTAGTTCAGACAATTTACATGGGAACATAAGCATCAGGATAAAAAAGGCTTGGCAGTAATGGAATCTCACTTTAATTGGTGCCTCTACCTACATATATGTCTCCCATCCTTTAAATGTACAAAAAAGAATATTTCAGCATCTTAAATTAATTTGGTATAACAGCACTGTGTAGCTGGCCTGCTATGATACATGGTAACACACCTTATCATACAGAGGGTCTCTGAAGAATCTGCCATCTTTCTTTGATATTATCACTGAGGGTGGGACACTGCCGACATACCAATTCAGTATATCCCTAAGTCTGCCAAGTCTACTATAGGATTCATCATTACATGTCAGGTTCTCTGTAAAATGTTTAGTTCTAAAGCAATAGGAAACTTTTAAAATTAAAATACATAATGAACACATCTAATACAGCAATGAAGTCTACTTTGATGGAGAAAATGCTATTGGCTTAGACTTTCCCTTCCATATCTCTTGAGAAAAAATTATGTAGAGTCAATAACTGAGCAGTTTTGTGACCTTCATTTGAATAAAAATCTCATTACAAACATGGAATTCAGAAAAACAGGCATAACAAATAAGTGAACCTTACTAAAATAGTGTGTTAACTTGTTTTAAATTCTATGTATAACTGAGTTCAAATTTATATTTTTGTAAAAAGTGTGCTCTACTCAGGTGTACATGTACCTGTCTGTAGTGTCTGTAGTATAGCCAGAGATTTCCCCCCAGGAGCCGCACAAAGGTCAAGGACATAGTCCCCCTCCTGAACGTCCAGTGCAATGACGGGAAGTAAAGAGGCAGCATCCATCAAGTAGTAGCCTACAAAACATTATGAATTTCATAAACAAGTTCTGTCAATTAAAGAGTAGTAATTAAATGTAATCATAAAATTCTTGAAGCGATTTCTAAAGCTTTTTAATGTGTAGGTTTCTTTTTTTATACTATACCATTGCTGACCTAACACATTTCCACGCTTCATCTTAGGAGAAGGAAAGTTAGACACATCCCCTTTATCAAACACAAAGAATTTCATTTGGTTTGGTAGACCTGGGGTTTGCTCTTGAATAACTTTTACTGGAACTTCGTACAAGCCTTCATCAAAAGTTGATGTGTCTGCTATCTGTTTGTGTAATATTTCCTTTTCGGAGTACACCCTCTTTGTAGGAATAAAGTCATACAAACTGGTGTTTTTCCCTACAATGGATTCAATTTCCTCCTCTTCTTCCTCTTCTGAATTAGATAGACTATTTTTACTGTCTTCTAATTCATTCTTTGAAATTCTTTCAGGAAAATCTAAAAATGTCTCAAGTGGTAAAGAACTGTTTTCAACAATTCCTTGCTCTTTGTCTTTCTTTAAGAATTCGGAGTGAGCTACAGTTGCCTCTTCCATTGCATCATATGCCCCTAAATCTTTCAGAACATTTTCTACAGTGTTCCTTTGACTGTTATAGTTATTTAACAATGCACAGTACTTCGATGATGTCAAAAGAGAAATCCTTATGGATGGCCACAATTCCTTGAAGACAGGTTTGTAGAATGTTTCCATGTGAATCAATGCATGTTCTGTGTAAGCTTTACTCCCCTCATTTTTTGCCTATAAAATTAAAAAAAAGAAAAAGAAAATTAGATATAAATGTTTTATTTTCATTGTCTTCAAGTAGCATACAAAAATGATAAGATTAATTAAGATAAACATGAACATTCAGAACCATGACACCACAAAACATGTCAGACATCACATGAACTCAGGATATGCAGATTATTAGGCCTACCCATTTTTTCTTGTAACCGCGTCTTTGAACGAATATAATTCCTTTACAAGAATACACTACGGATAATCCATTGTCCTTGAGGCGTGCTATCGATCCTTGCAGAAGAAGAGTTTTCAGTAAAACAGCCCGTTGCATGTTTTTCTGCTGCACAGAAAATATATCGGAAACATCTACTGCTACATATTTGTAGAGTGTCAATGCAAAACAACTTTTTCCGGAATAATGTAACATGTGCGCTATGTTCTCGTTTTGATAAATATTTTTTTATTAATACAAAGAGTTATTTTGAATTCACCTTCTCTCTGTCGATTTTAAGTAAACAAAACGCAATTCACCTTTTTGCCAAGGAACATAGAAACTTTCAAAGACTACAGGACAACCCCCTCTGTCTCAGTCATTAGACAAACAGTTTTGTACTGTAATGAAGGTATCTTTTCTAAAAAATTTAGTGGCTCTGAAAAGAGCCGTTTGGTACTTGTATTTTCTCAGCGATGCATCTTCCTTCCGTCTGGGCTTGGGGCAATCCGAGTTGACCTGTAGGGTTCAGGAATGGTCTCAAGTTTCAGACCGATTTCTTGTTCTGATTAGTGATCAATTTTCGCCATGAATTTGGTTCAGGAGTTCTTCGGCTTCTCTCTTTTTAACCACGTAGTACTCATTATAACGCACCAGCAATTCTTCCGTCTGTCTTAGTTGTGCTGCCATGGAGTTGTTATTTCTTGATGCTGGACCTGCTACTTTGCCAGTTTTCAGGATATGAAGGCGTCCTTTCAGAAGCATTATATGCTCCAAAGCTCGCTCGGCTTTACTTTCCGCAACCAGGAATTGGCTAGTTAAATTCTGCATGTTTCAAGTATAGTTGATTCATGAAGAATGATTGGATATTGTCCTGGAAAACTTTATATACACGATGAGATTTAATTTTAGCTTGGGTCAGATCTTGACATAATTAACTAGTCGTCGACATAATTAACAGATAATTACTTTGTGAACATCAGAATACAATGATGACCTGAAGAGGAGATAATTTGCAGGACATGAATACATCACTGTCAACAGACCGTTAGACAGATCAACGTGACATGATCTGCATTCCTCTGCGATAATTGACAGAACTTTCATCACAGATCATGTATTGAGAAATTTGCTCGTTCCAAATTTTTACGCCGTAGAATTAAAACACCGTCAGTCTCATAAATATTTATTTAAGAAAAAAATGTTATATAGGCAAATTAAGATGTCTTTATATAATCAAGTAATAAAATAATTGATATGAATATTGACTTTAAAAAATTTAATTTTGAAACTCAAAGAGAACGATGGAACGGTTGTTTTTTTTTTTAAATTAAATCAAAGAGAAGTACAAGTCTCTTTCTGTACAACCATTCATTCATTCATTCTATCTTTATTTCCCCCCGTAGGAGATTGCATGAATATGAACGTTGTAGAGATGTGCTCGAAAATGTTCCTGAAGTTTTCTTCGCAGAGGGGACAAGGTTCTGGAGGAGAGTCTGAAAGAGTCCATAGCTTGACAATAAATTTACAAATTTCTATTTCGTGGATGTTGCTTGGAATTTCCCAGATAGTT